TCTCATGGCGGAATGGCAGCAACGACTGTCGCAACCGAGGGCTGGGCTCGCTGCCATCGCAGCGGTAAGTCCCCTCTTTGAGGAGTGGCTTGAGAGACGCTACGGCGTCCTCACCTACCGCCTGACGCAGGTCCTCACCGGACATGGAAGTTTCGGGAGGTACCTGTGTCTGATGGGGCGGGAGGAAACGCCCGGGTGTCATCACTGCGAGGACCGCCCTGAGGACACGGTGGAACACACGGTGGGAGAATGCCCTTCGTGGGCTGAGCACCGCCGTGTCCTCAGGGAAGTGATCGGCGATGGCGACCTCTCGCGTCCGGGCCTAGTGCAGGCCATGATGCGGAGCGAGGGGGATTGGGATGCCGTCTCCTCCTTTTGCGAAGCAGTCATGCTAGCTAAGGAGGAGGCGGGACGCGTGAGGCAGCGAAGCGCTGCCTCCTCGCAACCCAGCCATCGCGAAGGACACACCGGGCGTCGGGGATCGCGGGACGATCTCCGGCCACCGTAAGCGCGGGCCTGCGGACGGCGAGCATGGGTGGCTCCCCGTCCGACCAGAAACAGACCCGAGCGTACGGCGCGTCGCGTTCCGCGCGCGCCTCAAAGAGCCATCAGACCACCACAGATGGGGCCCAATAGGGCCGATGCCGATTCGGAGTCGCGGAGAACCTAACGGGTAACCGGGGCTCCGGCTCGACGTGCAGGAGAAGGAACGGGGTGGTTTTTAGTCAGTAAGAGTCTGACACTCCCTCCCGCCTCACCCAGGCGGGGGCAGTCATTCGATGATTTTCCCCCCTTAAAAAAAAAAAAAAAAAAAAAAACTGGAAGAGCTGAAGGTCGAAATCAGTGGTGTACTGTTAAGGATTTTATGCATAGCACTGGACGGAAACAGACTAATGATTACAGGAGAAATGTTTACCAGCTGTACTTAGTCGCAATTAAATTTATTTTTTGCTTCTCATTTATAACATGGCGCCTTTTATCGTTAACGTTGTTGTCAATAGAGAATTCAAAACATATGTACCCCCCCATCGGTGCTGCCCCTAGCGGATTTTTTTTAATCTTCCCAGGAAAAAGGCTAATTCAGACTCCGTGTTACTACTGAGATTATTTTTAAAAACCCTAGTAATACTTAACCCAAGCCGGGAATCGAACCCAAGACCCCTTGGCCGGCAGTCGCACTAGCGACCACTCGGCCAACGAGGCAGTTTTTGCTTTTTCAGTAAAATTAATATTTTCTTTCAGATTGTAGCAGGACCAGCCCCTACACTTGAACGTATCAGTGCGCTAGGGCTACCTCTAGGCACAACTACCACTGATTGCATAATACGTTCATGTGGTTGGTTCACTAAAACCGGTCGGTATAAAGAGGGCAGCCCTAACACTATCAAGTTCCCGCCTAGACGTAAGAAGAGATGATTGTCAAATTGCTAAAAGTTATGTAAGATGTGAATTTAATTTTATAAATATCTAAAAAATATTTTTCAATTTAATTCACTATTATCTGTAACTTTACTTTGTCTCCCATTTTGTCGTATCAGTCGATGTTTTTTTTTTACTTTTTATATGTTTTTTTTTAAACAATACCTGTCGTAATTATCTTTTCTATCACAACACATCACTGAGTAAAACAGCTAAATGTTATTAACCAAAAAAAAATCTCGAAATAGCTGCAATCACATTTTTATTGCAAAAATACGTTATAATTATTTTTTATAAATAAATAGAAAAGTCCGAAGGCACACGATTAAATCAAATCACAAATGGCTACACATTCATAATCATACAATTAAGGGGTCGTACACAAAACTGCGATGCGATGCCATGCGGATTCGCAACGCAAAAAATTACGATGCGAATTGCTGCGATGCGATTTCATGCAACAAGGCGTCTCCCGGGGTAATATAATTGAAAATATTTTAAATGAAAACTAGGTCGTGACATGGATCGTAAAAAGAAGTGTGCTCTTCTGTTATTTCTTAGGAGATACAGAAAAAAGAAACGAAGAAGATTTTTGGAAGATGAGATTTTGATGCGCGATGCGAATCAATTCGCAAGTTCTTGCGATGCGTAGAAGGAGTTCGCACATTTTTGCGATGCGACGTCGCATTGCAGTAACGTACGAGTTTGTGTACGAGCCCTAATACTCGATTCCTTACAAGTCATCAGTTCATGTCCTCATTACGTCGTCATTCTATTTTCACAAACAGTCCGCATGATAATATCAGGGCCAGAATCTGGAATAAACAAATTGTACAATTATGGTCTTTACCACAATCAAAGGAATAGCGATGATGACAGTTAGTTAGGTAATTAAAAAATATTATACATATTTTTTTATTTTGTCGATGTTGGAGGTTTCTCCTTCTCGGGATTGGCCCGGTGAAAATGGCCACCGCGTCCCGCGACCCGCAGGAAAAACGATGCTCATAGCCCCCTTCTAAATTTGGTTTCTAAATCTCCTTCTTACTCTTCTGCTACTGACACTATCTGTGTGTGGTTCTGAATTTTGTGTGGGTGTAGTTTGTATGCCAGTTGTAGATATTGAGCTTTGTCTTTATTTTGTCGTATAAGAAAACAATCTATACTATCTTATACTATTGTATAAAGCGGAAGAGTTTGTTTTTTTTGTTTGAATGCGCTAATCTCCGAAACTACGGGTCCGGTTTGAAAAATTCTTTCTGTGTTGGATAGCCCATTTATCTAGGAAGGCTATAGGTTATAAAATATCACGCTACGATTAATAAGCGCCGAGCAGAGCGAGCCGAAAACCGCGCGGAAGTAGCTAGTACTGAGATAAAACGAATCAAAGTTTAGGAGTGGGAGCTAGCTACGTAATTTTTTGAGTAAAAAACGTACCCAAAAATGACGTCATGCAAATTTTCACATCAATATATCATCGAAAGTATTTGTTTCCGTAAGAAAATTAAAAATACGTGACTAATGTTTTAAGTAATCTATCAGACGAACATTAAAATAAAAATTAGTCATTTGCCTTCAGGAAGTATAATGTGCGACGCCATATTTAAGTTTAGATGCTCAAATAAAATATTTACCATAATCAGAGCTATGATGACAGCGACAGTACCAACGTACACGGCGTCTTCTCTCAAGAAGTCAGTCACTTTGGATAGGCATCCTTCCACATACATTGTCGTCGGGTTCGGAGACGCTTTGCAGTCCATCCTCTGAAACATTCGTCGCCAGTTGCTTTAGATTTAGAACTACAGTGTCAAAAAGCAAGCAAATATAAAACTTATTACAGGTTGATGTAAGGTAAAGTTTTATTTTTAAGGTAGCTTTTGTGCTACCAATTTTTATTAATTGAATTTATTGATACGTATTAACATTGAGATTAGTTTAGACTAATTAATTCTAATCTTATCTAAAGACTGTTCTGTAAGATCTGTATTCAGCCATAGAGATATACGCGATAAATAATATATTTTTTTATTGTGTCTCATTCACATACCGGCAGTCAATAGGTTATTAAGCCATGTCTATATCCGTCAGTAGATAGAAGCGGACTAATGACGAATCTCGTATCACAGTTCACAGTCCTCGTATTTTTTTCTTCAGTGTTACATAAAAAGATATGAACCAACCTTTCCTGGATACACTTCTCGACAACAGCTCTCTGGCACATTATCATTCCAATCCTTGTATCCTTTGACGCCACAGCACTGAAGGTACGTCTGCGTGTCATCCCAAGACTTTGTGTACTCGTGCCTAACTCCATAGTATGGTATGGATGCGTACAACTCTCGGTCTAACGTTGTCATCACCTTTTCTCGGAAGACAAACTGCAAGATCCCGCCTACCAGCATCACCACGAAGATTATGAAGACCAGGATGTAGTACTGGAAATTGAATAAAATAGATTAGGTTAGTCGGTGGTTATCAATTATGAAATTATGAATTTGTATGGTTTGATCTCATGCTTTCGATTACAACTCTCGATCAGTCAAACAAAGAGACTTATAAGGAGGTTTTATTATCTTTATTGGTATGGCTGACCTATATAAAATGACAAATGTCATATAGTAAAAAAGAAGCTAAATTTTTTTCTTCATGGCATCCGAATCTTTTTTTACGTCATGTTGCCAGTCATTGAGTCTTGTGCGCTAACAAGGCTACCAAAGAGGTTATATGAAATGAAATAAAAAATGCTGCCTCAATTCCGTACAACACAACTAAATTTAATTTTTTAACTACAATTTAGTGTTTTATTAAATTAACTATGCAACTATCCAGCCACCTCTTCACTCATCATTCTAATACGGTTGCTCCAATCCGTACCAATACAAACGCACCGTGAGTAGCATACATTTGACCTCCTTAGCGGCACCGCAGCAGCCGAGGATGGACAGCACCATAAGGGCAGCTCCCATGGCCACCACTACCACCACTGATGCTATGAACATGTTGTTGCTCATCAGTGTGCTGGAGAAGGACCGGGATATCCATACCCACAGGCCGACTGCCAGGGCTATTATACCGCCAAGCTGAAATATCAAAATGCAAGATATTAGATTTATAATTTAATTAGTAGAAATCTAAGGCTAGCCGATTATTCTCAAAATAGTTAGGAAATTGCCATTTACGTATTAAAAAAGTAATAAAAATTATCATTATATGGTATCTATACGGTTTTTGCTACAAATTGCCAGTAGGTAACTGTTGCACAACGCTAAAAATAAGTAGGTACCCTGGAGGTTATATCAAACTATAAGAATTAATTCCATTACCCCATTCATCAAAAGTTATATAAAAAGGTAGAAACAAGACAGTAATATTGTTTTACAATATTAATGCACCAAAATAAATCAAATTTCGCGATTGTAATGTTGATTGCGTTTTGCGTGATGGTAATGTAGATAATTTGTACAATTTGCAATCCATCTATTAAAGGTATTTGATTGATGTAAATAGCATTAAACAACAACTTGAGTCACGATTAAAGGTCACTCATGCATTCACACTATGACAGGGCTGTCCAAACTATATATCGTCACGGGCCAATTAAATTTCTTACAAAAGCTGGAGGGTCAGAAACATCTTATATTCTTGTATTCTGTACTCACAGATAAAACTTGCATACAAATTATACACTGATTTTTATTATTGTTGTTGCACATAAGATGAAGATGTTGAGATTAAAATATGTGCCGCGGGCCACATTAAAACAAGCCGAGGGCCGCACACGACCCGCGGGCCTTTGTTTGGACAGCCCTGCACTATGACATTGAGGATAATCAACGGATGCACTGTACCTAGGACGGCTATATTTCTATGTTAGTAGATAGTAGTCATAACACTCCGCAAATAGAAACTTATTAGTGTGTGGGAAGAGTGTAATATCACCTATTTTAATTATATTGACTGCCTCGGGTTTTAAAAAAAAAGCTCAGTAGTAGTCACGGAGTCTGGAATTATGCACAGTATATATACCTATATACTTATATATATGGCAATAGGCTCACCCGCTATTACATGGGACATATAATCGTAACATAAATAGTGAAAAGCGGGTGTTACATTGTACGTGCCGTAATGTGCACCTCTCTCTGCCTACCCCTTCGGGTAAAAAGGCGTGATATTATGTTATGTATGTATAAAATAATAAATATATGTCAGGATTTTCAAACTTTGAAATAAATAAATAGGTACCTTAAATGCTATGCTATTTTTTATATTAGCCAAAAGTAGGAAATCGAAATATATCTATATCGAAACCAAAACAGACTACGGTTACTATCGGACCTTTAACTGAATATCAACGACTTTTTTATTGTTATTTCGGCCTTATTTTTACTTATAAATACAAGTGGATGTCCGTGTAAACTTAAGATAGGATCTAAATTGCTTCACAGTCGTTGTTCTCCAAATGTGTTTGACTTGAAATATTGCTTAATTTTATCGCTAGGATGTTCAATACGGATTAGAAAAGAGTAATCAGAGGTAACATCTAAGGTTACCTCTAGCTCATTTAAATGTTAATGTTTTTGTTTGTTTATCTAAATTAAGGTACATTCCTTACAATCCTCTAAGAGACCGCTACCCCACGTGTAACTCTTCTGTGATACGGATGTCCATGGACAGTGCTGATTGCTAACCATCAGGAGATCTGTCTGGTCCTTTGGCCCACTATTGCTGGAATACTGAAACGTTACTCAATTTTAAGTCGTGATTAAATATCGTGCCATCTCTGTCATTTTACAAAGAATTTGTAGACACAGAACTATAGTTAAGCGCGACTTAAAATTGAGTAACGTTTCAGTATTCCCTATTAGTATATCAGTTTCAGTATTCCTATCCAATAAAAAGAATTTCATTCAACGTTAGGTCGGTTACTACCACTACATAGCATGAAACAAAGTCGCTATCCGCCGTCTGTCTATTCCCTATGTATGCTTAGATCTTTAAAACTACGCAACGGATTTTGATGCGCTTTTTTAATAGATGGAGTTATTCTTAAGGAAGGTTTATAATTATGTATAATACATGCATATTGCACCTGTGCGAAGCCGGGCGTGTCGCTATTAGGCTATAAAGTAAAGCACTTATCTAATTGGTGAAAAATAAGTACTATCATCATCAGCCTATAAGTGGCCACTGCTGACCAAAAGCCTCTTCTCACACGAAGAAGGTTTGAGCGTCAAACGCTTTCTTAATGTAGATTGGCGATTTTAAACTTATAATTAGATATTATAAGCCCAGATTTCCTCACGGTGTTTTCCTTTACCGTTTGTCAACGTTCAGACACCATAACCTAATCTTAGAAAATACTTACATATAACTCGGAAAAAGTCATATTGGTACTTGCCGTTGGTAGGTTTCGAACCCGCATTCTCATGCATGAGAAGCGGGCGTCTTAAACCTCCAGGCCATCACGACATAAGTAGGTACATTATTAACCAACTTTAATTATAAATGGGTTTTTTTACTGGGATAAACCGGTAAACGAGCAGACGGATCACCTGATGGTAAGCAATCGGCGTCGCCCATGGACACCTGAAACACCAGAGGTGTTACAAGTTCGTTACCGGCCTTTTGGGATTAGGAATATGAGGATTGTTGGGGATTCAGGGATTGGGGAAAGGGGGGGAGGAATTGTACCTCACTCACACGACGAAACACAACACAACGTTGTTTCACGTCGGTTTTCTGTGAGACCGAGGTATCACTCCGGTCGAGCCGGCCCATTCGTGCCGAGGCACACTTGAATTGAATTAGGTTTTCACAATATAGTATTTATTTGTAAATAATGGGTACTTACAAAAGTGACTACGTTGATGCATATTAGCGAGATCTTCATGCATCGACCGCATCTGTTCATTGCACCTCCCATTCCCATGGCGAAACTGTGAATTGATACCAAAGAATAATATTAGAAAAAATATATGTTTATCAAGCTACCCCAGTTTCACTCAAGTGGTTCTAACAAAAACAAGGACTTGGAGAAATCGATCTACCCGTATCAGTCTTGATGCCGTGACCAAAAATTATACCGTGAAGCTTATATCATTATTTTATAACATGCAAAGACCCTTGCAGTTCAAAATCAAAAACTACTGTACGCATTTAGATGTAATGTATTTAATAGATAGATCACTACGCGTACCTACCAACCAACACACAGGATACCTATAAGAAGTTTTATGACGGAAACGCACGCGACGTACGTGTTTTTTTTTTATTTTAAATATCAAGCCCCTAATGTTTGTGAAATGAACCTTATTATGGGTTAATAACGTTGAAAATCGAACAAATACAGATACAGTAGGTTGTCTTGCTGGCGTGCATTAACTAAAAATACACAAGTCATGTTTACGTTTTTACTTACAAAAGGATACGTGGCCGTTGATTTGTTGTTCCTTGTTCCCCTAGGGTCATTAAAAAAAGGTTTCACCCCAAAACAAGCGGGTAAGGGAAACATGCAGGTGCATTGATTAATTAAAATGATAGATAAGGTTATTATGTTTTCGGCTTACTCACGTAACTGTTTGAAAAGGAACTCGACTAGTTTCAAGCCATGCTAGAGGCTCATATTCATGAACAGCGTTCCGCGATAATAATTTATTTAGTAGATATGTCTCGCGAAAGTTATAATATAAACAGAAATAAGGTTATTTAATGTGATTGATAAGTTTTTATGTTTTGTGTCATAGTATCCCCAAGCAGTCACCGGTAACCGCTCTCCACTAACTACATTATAGACCTTATTTCCGATGTTTAGAGACTACTTTTGTATGAATAAATTAAGGGGATGATATTTCAACAAGTTAATTATTTAACAAAATTCATAAAATTGAACCACTGTTTATAATCGGACTGCTTCTTGCTTTAACATTATTTATACTAATTATAAAAATGATGAGTTTGTTTGTTTAAACCATTATTTTGAGTTGGATAGTCCTTTTACCAAGGAAGGCGGCTATAAAAAATCATGCTACAATTATTGATTATAGCATGATTTTTTATAGCCGCCGTATTAGGAGCCGACCAGAGCGGGTTAAACCGCGCTGGAGTACCTAGTAACTTATATGACGTTCCCATCTATTTAAATGTCTCATTAAAAACTAACACACAAAAGTTAGCATGACACTCATAATTTTTTAAAGTCCCTAGCACCATTCCCTACTTCTAACAACCTCACTTAGTTCTAAACAGTGAAAGTTGATTACACCAAATCCAATTGTTTGCAATCTACTCACGTACGTGGGACAGTACTTGCATGCATGCCTTGGTTTCTCTTAATGAGAGTAAAAGTTTAATGGGTGATTGTGATCTTAACCTTAGCAATGAGATAACCTTGCCACTAACCGCAATTGCCGAAGGCGTTAGTAGACTTATTGTCTCATGATTATACCTCTAGAGACCCGTTTGTAAAATTTTAGGAAAAGAGTTCTGTTCCTAAGTGATGTTTTTTATCGTTTTATCTGTTGAAACACCGGCTCCCGGTATAAAACACATTATACCCGCAACTTTCAACAGACAAGAGGAACCATATTTCCCCAAGCGGTCACCGGTGACCGCTCTCGACTAACTACATTATAGACCTTATTTCCAATGTTTAGAGACTACTTTTGTATGAACAAATTTAGGGGATGATTTTCAACAATAGAGAGTGGCATACACCCTTTATTATTACAATCGTTTATTTAACTTGTAGCGTATGTATGTATGTGTTTTGTGCGTGTGAAGTGGAATCTTGCAACTGAATTTTGAAATATGTTCTGATATCTTTAAACGATTGAGCTGATTTTTTATGCCTACGCGTTCACGACGTGTTTACGACGACGACATGACAATAAATGTTGAGCTGCATAAAATCTTGTTTTAATGAGTAGAGAGAGTACTTTTGAACGTCTGATCTTTGAAAAATCTAGATCAATCTGGAGACGGTTATTCACATCTACTTAATGCCAGTAATCAAAATCAATGTGATCAATGAGTCAAGAAGTTATAATATTTGATACAGAAACCAGATACTTTAATGAAAAAGATTTACTGATAACGATATTTGATAGTTTGTATCGTAGTACTAATTAAGACTTGTCTCAATCTTCGTGTGGGTGAAGTTACGTGTCAAATTATGTTATCCTTGAATCATTTAGTGGTGAATTCTTAAGGCGAATAGGTACGTCTAAGATTGAGAGTGAAAAATAATTGTCCATCGGAATGGAATTTCTGAAGCAGTTCATATTGAATGGCTTATTACACAGACATACATAGATCTAGCTAACTAATACATTAATACTGTGTCTAAGCATTCTTTTAAAGGCTTTTGTGTTGACAACAGGATGAATGGAATGTTACCTGTTTCTTTCTATAACACAAAAAGTATATACGAAACGGATTTAAACATCTTATAAAATAAAAACTATCATAAGTAATCGTACACTAATGAACAACACAACGATATGACAAAATCCTTGCCGTGCAGCTAATGCAATGTTAGAATAAAAACTCAAGAGTAATTAATCAAGATCGTACCTGCTACATATGAATTAATTAAGCTTGTATACGGTCCATATTAATGTCAATATGTGGTCGACATTGCAATACATACTTAGGTAGATACATAATCTAGTATGCGACGATATAAAACAGATAAATAAGTACCTGAGCAAAAAGTTCTCACCTCCAATGAGTCGATTGATGTTCTCTCCGAACTGTTAGATGGATGAATCTATTTTGTATGTTTATCATTTTATTATTATTGTGTTTGTTATTAAGTACTTAAGTATTGAATGACATTTAGTAATGTATTTGTGCTTTTGATGTGGGTATATCTACAAATATCATGATCAAGTTACAAGGTAGGTAAGCTACTGCATTAAACGGCAATAAGAAAACAAATAGGTAAGTATTTAGTTCTTATGTAGGTACCTACCTAGCAGCGTAGCCTAGTACTTACGGTAAGTGTGTTTGAAAGCAGGTTCTTATTACTTACTTATCAAAGTTATTGTGGTACTTATATATCTAATAGTAAATATACCTGCCTAAACTGTATGATTCAGACTGGTTTACTGTTAGTGTCTGGGAATGTTTTTGGATTTATGTACAACAATCAGACCTAGTACCTGTGTATTCTCTAAACACTAACAACTTAACAAGTATCTAGGTACATACATATATTCAATTGATAACATATGTATATCAAGCCGTGTGACATTACTACAATAGCTTCATCCTCACCTGTTTACCCATCGTGAAAAACTAAGGATCCTTTTAATGTCGCACAAACAAACGAAGCATTTAAAAAAAAACAATCAGCTGAACATAGTACCTCCTCCTTTTTTTTTTTATTTTTATTTATTTAACTTTATGCAACAAAAGTACATAGGCGGGCTTAATGCCATGGGCATTCTTACTAGCCAACCTTTAGGTGATGCAGTGAGAGCGTGGTCGGTGCAATAAGTTGACAACTATATCTAATATAATTTTTAAAATGACAGTATACATACAACGGTCTATGGTAAATATAAATATTTTATTAATAAAGATCAATATATATATATATATAAATAAATAAGTATATATGTATATATATGTGCAATCAAATATTCAAACATAAAAGAGATAGGTTATGAAGACTCTACTAACTTTCCACCCGAAATCCACTTACGAACTCCAACCTTGAACGCCTGCTTACTGGAGGACTTCCTGACTTCCAAGGGTAGCCTATTCCACAGAAGAATACTTTTGAAGTCGGTAAAAAATAAACTACACGAACAAAGTTATTGCCTGTTGTTTCTCTAGGTATTTAGATAAGTTATAGACCACTGGGTAGGTACCTATGTGTGTCATTACCTACATGTCAAACGTAATGCTATGTATGTCATGCATGCTTGTATTACGACCACTTACAGAGAGGAGCTATGCGAACCGCTCGGACGCACTCAAGGTAATACCCCGGATACCACAAGGTCCATCTAATCCATTCTCTTAACGATGTTTATAAGTGAAAGTGGCATTGTATGACGACTATGACGTTTTATATAAAACAATAACATTGGAGCCATCGAAAACGTGCAAACTGAAGTTAAAAGTTTGAAAAGATTGATGTCAACATCAACATAAAATTTTGTTTGGCGCGTTGTGGTTGTCGCGTCATGGAGTTTACTCACATTTAGTCACGAACTCCGATATCGTCTTGTTCAAACCGTTAGTCGAAACAGTTTCACTTTACCATAACTCTTACTTCTCACTACAGTTACGTTAATTTGTTCGGTTCATTCACAAATTGTTTGTTATTTGAGACGGCGAGTGCGTCGTGGCCGGTAGTACAAAGTCAACTGGTTTAAGTGAACCACGCGGGCGACGCCCCACCAACCAACTTGTAGGAAGAATGGGACAGCCTTCGAAGGGTCCTATAACGTGTTTATATGTTTGCAACTAGGTCAGATGTGTTGCGTGTAATGCTGCGATTTATTTACAATAGAAGATCGGAAGCTAATGATAAAGTCTGATTTAAAGCCTTCCGCCTATTTTATTTACTTTTACAAGAATAAAATATTTTAGCCTAAAAATGTGCGTCGCTTTACGGCTTTACGGAATCCGTTTGAAATAACCGACTATAACGTACATATATTCTAAATTGGAGTAATAGGGTAAGTAAATACAATAAAGTGTTGTGATTGCGTACCGGACACCAGTTATAATTGAGATGGAAGAGAGGATACTACTGGTAATAGTAAAACAATACTCTAAAGTCAGTCTTAAACTGTCAAACACCAAGCGGTCACCGGTGACCGCAACCTATTGTTCTATAATTGTGTCTATAATGACGGTACTCGACGAGTTAAATTACAGAAAATAAAGTTCACTGTAGTTATTCTTTATCAGTCTTAATCGCGCTTTATAATTCCCGAAGGGGTAAGTAGGCAAAGAAACGCATATTAGGTAGTTATTAATTAAACAAATCAGGAATGATCATGGATGAACCACACACTGGTCACAATTCCGGATTCCGTGCTACTTAGTATATAGTACGAACACTTTGACCGGCACTTAGTCTGATAATCGAACCCTAGACTTCTTGTTTTGCACTCGCGCAGGCGCTTATAACCACTCGACAAACGAGGCAATCAAAAATTATTCTTTATCAATATCTCCTTTATGCACCTTGCACTAACCATCACAAGGTGCTTAACCTGTTGTCTGTCGGAACGTAGATCTACGCGAGAAACAATCTGTTTTCTATTGTGTCTCACATATCGACAGAGACAAGAAGTTAAAGATATAAACAATAGTAACTGATATCTGTTACTAAAATAATTAATCAAATCGGTTCATAAACCTTGACTTAATCGGTGTACCTACATAAATAAAAAAAGCAACAAAAACATACGGACGAATTGAGAACCTCCTCCATTAGGAAGTCGGTTAAAATAAAACAACAGTGTGTCACGGTTTCTTTTATTAGCTTTTTGTTAATAAACGTTCACCTCAACTCAACATAATTACAAAGTGATGGTAGAAATGTATTCAACGCGGTTTTACATCAATATGAGCACTCCTGCGTCTACTAACAACTAAGATGTCATTGAGCTTTGGTTTACATTAAATTATATTCTGATGTTGCAATCAGTTTAGTAAATAAGTTTTAGAATAAAAACTCAAGAGAATATGACCTGCGCGCGACCAGGCAAACATCACACGAACAAAAGTGGCGTCAAATTGTTTAAATTCTACTTAAACGTTAATCTATAAACATCTAAAAGATAGGAACATAAGGCCGTTCGTCAAGATTATATTTAGGCAGACCACAAGACGTCACTGCATCAATGCGGACAATACTAGATCGTTACACTTCACCGAGTATTTAGATAATATTTATCTACACTTACAAAAACTATACACAATATGTATGACCAAAAATACCCGTCTTATACAAATCTTTGAATAATTCTAAACAAAACCTAAGGCATAAGACCTAAATGTTCCTTCCTGATCGCGCGAAAGTCATAGTGAATGTGAAACTATGCAATAAATAGACAACCCAGTGCTTTGAACTTGTGAAATATAACATGATATCGAATAGAAATCGATAATAATAAGTGTGTACCAGCGTGAGTCCCTCGGACAACTCACAGATCCTATTTGATCCCACCATATATTCTCACCTGCTACCGGCTGACCCAGCTATCACTAATGAGTTTCTTTCTTCGTTAAAATAAGTAGCAAGTGCGAATGATTAGTGTCGCATATAAATTCATCATAGAAAAAAACTATAAATACATCTCGTTTGTTGTTAACTTAATATACAACACGAAGCAGTAAACGGTAGGTGATTTCGTAGGTACAATTATTTATATCTATTTAGACACGGATATAAAATAAAACAAATACATTTCAAACAATATTTTAACTGAAATTATAATATATTACATGTTTTGCGCTAAAATTACAACAAAATACACTTATACAAGCAACCCGCTACTGCTGTTGGTTACATACGGACTGACAATAAATTAACGCATCAGAGTTACATCTTTTTTAATATTACATTACCTATATTTAAACATTAAGAACGGTTTAATTAGACCTACATACACAACGACCTGCGTAGCTTCTCTTATAAATTGATTAGCGATATGTGCAACATGTATATTGTACTCCAACAATTATAAACAAGAGGTTCAATTCTGAACTAAAAGCAACGTATTGGTAACTTGGTCAAGCATCCTGACATGAATCGATACAAATACAAAAAATCAGTTCATTGAAAGGAGGCTAGGCAAGCTACCGTTTTAGAACCTAGAACGAGATTCACTAGTCTACAAACATGTCTCAGTTTAGAATATACATGTTGCACAAAGAAATACTTAACAATAAATAATAATATTATAATTTCAGACATGGTCTAATGGTTTATAAATACTTTTCTTTCGATTCTCGATTCTTAAACTAAAACAAATAAAAATATAGAAGAGCATTCATAATTCGTTAACTTGGCACTACGAACCTCTGGTTCAGAACTAATACGAGTAAGAAGAGCTGATGCAATACATACAGTAAAATGATTCACATCTGTGTGGGCACAAGTGTTCTGACGTAATGCGAACAATATACTACATGCAACCAATCTCTTTCGATGGGCATAATTATTATAGTAACCCACATTGTTGTACAAACCTGACATAAGTCTAGTAATTTATAAAAGCACGCCTTAATTACTACTTCTACACAGATATATCCAAAATATATCTGCATTTTCTTTAGATCAAAGACATAAACAACAATAGATATACAATTTTAAAAAGAAGACAACAAATAAATGCAAATTACTTGATAATAATTTTTCAATATGCAGACGCATGTATTTAAAACCTTTGTACAAGTATAAAATAAGAAGCTACGCAGCGGCGTGTGAGCCCTTTCATTTCCCTTTATACATTAAGTGAAGAAAGTTGAAAACTCACAAACTTCCGCGTGTGATACGGAATTGAATATGAACATTTAACACGTACTTATTATTTATTATTACATACATTGTAGGGAGGTATTATAATGATGACTGCCAGAGAGAACCTTCAGTGTGACTACCAAACGCTTCGATCGCAAGTATATTTCAACTTCATTCACTCATCCCAAACTAGAAATGGAGCTGAACATACAACCGAGTCATACCGCCCATACCGGCCACCCAGAGACCGTGATTGAGTGAACTCACACTTATCTATTGGCGTGTATGTAGCCAGTAGCTGAAGTATTTCATTTAATGGAGCGCGAATCGCGTGTCAAATGTAATCGTTACCGTTGCGTAGAGTACACGAAATAAATCGCAAGTTATGCAAGTAAATAGCGGTTTGATGTTCTGTGGAAAATCTTTTGTATTTCTCAGTCTTTTCAGTCAAACTTGAAGTTGTAGAAAATATGATATTAGGTTGTCTTTTCTTATGTCCAAATGCAGGTCGATAATGAAAAGTGTAGTAAACAACATGATCAGATGAAAGTCATTATTCGCAATCACTTCGTTTTGAATTAACTAATTTCACGTAAAGCTATAATGCATTACCAGGAAACATTACAGTTCAACAATTATATTAACCGTTTAGTATTTTATACAAAGGATACTTTTACATACAAGTTCTCTGACATGGCATAATTGCACACGTGTTGTGTGGTCTGTTCTTATGAAATAGTTACAGAAACGGTAACGAAATCGCAGCTCCAACCTTAAAAATGTTAGCAATAACTTCAATGGGTATATCTCAAGAAATCCATGTAGCTGCCTTGTGTCTGATGAGTCGGGCGTGTATGTGTGTGGGTGTGTGGGTGTGTGGGTGTGTGGGTGTGTGGGTGTGTGGGTGTGTGGGTGTGTGGGTGGGTCGGATGCACGTTCAGCTAGCGGAGTGGGCGGCGTCAGCTGGCGGGCCGCGCGGGCGCGGGCGCGGGCGGAGCCGCGGCGCAGCACTAGGGCCGGCGCGCCGCGAACACGCCGCGCTGCGCCAGGAACTGCGCGCCCTCCGCCGCAGACCCTGCGGGACCACGCCACCTCAATGGACTATCGACACAGCTAGTGACCCGCCGACCTAACCGCGCGCTGGAGACGGACTCAATAAAAAATACCACGTTTTCTTTCTTCTTCTTTAACCTACGGCTGGAGATGTCGCGACACGACGGCTATAATACTACGCACCTTGGTTAGGGAATGGTAGGCAATTGGTCTTGAGAATCTCCTCGTGATTACCGTAGGCACAGAACTTGACAACTACAGTCTTAGCCGATATGCCCGTGATCTCGGCCTCGTAGAACTGAAATGGGAAAAGTGTTGTTGTTTTAATTTATGCATTACTATATTTCAATTTAATTAAGGGTTAGATATGCTGATGAGATAAGACAAGGTCAATTAAACTGTCATACATCGCGAGGACACCGGTGACCGCAACCTATTGTTCTTTAATTGTGTCTATAATGACGGTACTCAACGAGTTAATGCATGTACTTACATTATTGTCCTCCCAGTAGAGCGCGAGGCAGCGGTCGCCCACCTTCCAGTTGATGTCTGCGACCCCGAGCATGGCGCGCGCCTGCTCGTTGACGGCCGCGTTCTGGAAGCCTAGCAGGGAGTTGGCAAGGAAGGGTGCGCCGCGCACGCCGCCGTAGTCCTGCGGCCGCGCGCCGTACCCGTACTGTCGTCCCGCCGCGAAGCCCCCGGCCGCGGCGCCGGACATGTATCCCGCTACGCCGCCGTACATCCCGCTCTGCCGCGACTCCACGTAGCCGTTGGGTTGCTGGCGGCGCTGGTAGGGCTGCTCCTGGTACTTCTGCAGGTCGCTGCCGCGGCGGAAGGGCTGTGGCTCGGGCATGGCCTGCGCGGCGAGGTACGCGGCCTGCTGCTGCTTGGCGTAGACCTGGTCGAGCGGCGGGTAGTTGCGCGGCTGCTGCAGTTCCTCGACGGCGCGCTGCGTGGCCAGCAGGTTGAGGCCGGCCGTGGCGTCCACTAAGCTCTCCATAGTGCTCTGCGCATTGTTACGATAGTTCTGAGGTTGTTGAGCTTTATTGTCATTGTTATAATTCCTCTCGCCTCGCATATTTTTACTATCATTGTAATGGCTCTGTTGCTGCGGTGGCAAGTTGTGATATGAATTGTTATATTGCATGTTCACATTGTTTAGGTTATTAGCCTGGAATTGATTCTGATTGTGATGTTGAAACTGTTGCTGCTGTTGTTTATTTTTCTCTTCTAATTTCCTCTGGAACCGCGGTGGTTTCTCACTCTGAGCTTGGTACTTTCTGTCATCTCTATGAGAATGGTTGTCATGAGAATAATGCCCTCTTCCATCAGATCTTTGTCTATTGGCACCATCAAACCTAGCTGCCTGATTTCTGGAGTTATTTCTACCACTATTCCTTTCCCTGTAGTTGTTCCGATCACTTCTGTCCTCTTGTGAGTTATTCTGGCGATTACTTCTGTCTCTTTCAGGTACATTAGGCAATTTATCTTCTAAGAAGTCAAATAATGATACCTTTCCTGAAGGCTTTACTTGTATCTCTTCATCATTATCTTTGTTTCGCCCCTTGCGTTTGGGTGGTTCCTGTTCCTTTTGCTGTTTCTCTTTACTTCTACTCTCCGAGTTATCTCTTTTCTGTAGAATCTTAAGAGCCCTATCTACATTGTTTTTAGTATATTTGAGAGCATTTTCAGCTTGCTCCTCTGAAAAGCCAGCATCAACAATCTTCTGAACATTTGCATCCAACAGGGGTTTTGTGCCTCCTCCAAAGACCTAGAATGCAATTTGTAAAAACTTTACCAGGAAAAAAAAAAGAAAACATCAAAAATTATGAAACTGACTTGATACTACTAATCTTACTAAAATCAAGTTAGAATGAATCAGATATTTAATTGAAGAAACGTGTTTCACTTTTATCACACTTTCAAATATTAAGTAATTACCTGTACAGTTATGATACTATCACACAACATACAAAACAAATGAAACAGAAAAACTACCTTTTTGACACCGGATGATAATTTTTGAGCTTCAGCGATGGCCCCTTTCCTCTGAGCTTCAAACTCTGCATTATCTTGTTTAGCAGCTTCTGTTATACTCTTATAATTTTTCTCTAATGTTAGAGCTTCCAGTCTTTGTCCAAATGGAATCCATGGTGGAGGTCCACCATCAACACCAATACCCCCTATAGAAAAATCATAATTGTGCATTCCCAAATGTTTACAAGCACACTTCTAACAATATTAATCATGACTTTTCAATTAGTTCTTGTAGAAAACTCATCATTCTTATTTTATTATTCTTATTGGTAATGGTCACCAATGAATAAGTGTTAAATGTTTTCTAAGTTTTTTAAGACTAGAATTATGCAATTGCGACAATCATATGTAACTACGTTTTATCCTATCGAAAGCAAGGAAGTCACTGGCAGAAGCTAATAAACAGTATGACACAAAAAACAAGACTAAATAACTGACAACTCACCTCTTGTATGTTTAGCAAGACTCCTATTTAGTTCCCATTTCTCAATCATGTGAGTAACCTTTCCACCCAAAACTGATATGACTTCAGGCACTAACCACACCACACCGTGACACACCTCTAGGCCCTCATTGTTCAACAACACCTTGGTACCCGGTGGAGTGTTAATACTTAAACTTGGTATAGGACTAGTTTCTAGGCCTGTACATGTCGATTTACCATCATGTAACGTTAACTTTAGCATTCGAGGGGCCGATGTAGACTCTTCATTAGCCTTCGGAGCTGACACATTTCTGACCTTTTGTATTTGTAATATTACTGGCTTCTCTAACTTCGATGGTTCCTTTGTAAAGTCTTCAGGAAGTGCAGCATCCCCTATATCTCTTAAATCATACTAGAAAACAATAAGAAATTGAAATTAATACAACCAGAACCAATTGAGCATTAGACCTTGACAATAATAAAGATAGCCATGTTAGCCACTCACATCTAACGCCTTCTTAGTAAGAATATTTATATCTTCTATTTGACCATTTTCACTAACAATATCAAGACCTTCTTCACTTAGGTGCCTGAAAAAACCAAATATTAGTTTCACATTGGATATTCACAGATTCTTCAGTAAAATAATGACTCCAGCGAAAATATAATTACCAGCCAAGTTCACATAAATTTTCCCTGAGTGACATGTTTTCATTAATGGTTAAATTAACATGACTTCAAGAAAAATAATTAAAAATAAAACTCGCGAGACATACGGCACCACCATCAATCAAATGACAGCTACGTACGGCAAAGTGTACCACAGGTTAAATATCATTACATGTTTCAAGATTTGTCTATGACAAAGTAATAAAATAAATTTTATTACTATTAAATTACATTCGATTGAATCGATACGGTCATGCTGATTCTATAATCACATAAATTACCTTGATGGATTACTTTTCCAATAGTAGAAAATTGGGAGGCCTATACCCGCAGTGACAGGCCAGTGGGGCCAGTCCAGTGAGACACCTGTTACCAGTAGGTTGCCAGTAGGAGTAGCCTGGCTAAAATGTAGTGTGTGTGCAATGTGTGTTTATGTAGGTAGATAATAAATACATTTTTATTCAAAATGTATAAAGATAGTTGATGAAGCGAAAGAGATATGTAGGAATCGTAGTAATTGGCGTTCCCCAGTAGGTAGTAGATACTTCCCTAGTAGTTACTTCATACTTCACGCCTTCACCCATGGCACCCCTTCACCCACCACCCATAGCTTGCTTATGCTTTGACATGTCAAAATGAATCAATGAGATTCTAAGACTGCACGGTTGGTGCGGGACTGAGTAACTGGCTACCGTGCAACGTGTCGCAGATTCGATTCCCGCAGGGAACTACTGTTTGTGTGATCCACTAATTGTTGTTTCGAGTCTGGGTGTCATGTTTATGTGAACTTTAATGTCTATAAACGCACCCATGACACAGGAGAAAATACTAGCGTAGGCAACGTCGTTTAGTAAAAAAAGAAATAATAATTATGTAGAGAATTTTAGCATTGCTTTACCAAGGAACCCTATACTTATTAAATACTCTTTGCAAGGAACGTTGGAATTGGAAAAAAGGGTTTACAATAGGTTTGCTCTATTCCTTGGTACCTACGTCTTACTCATGTCACTGTCAAACATGTCAAAGAAGACATCTACCAATGACAACACAATATTGGTAAAACCTGCTTAGATTACGATTAGAAGAATTCCAATATAACTCTTAGTTCCTTCAGATATGTCTTATTTTTCAATAATACCGGCAAAGAAACATTCTACTGGAATAATTTTTGACAACGTCACAATTCAATTCATCTAAGCTGCTTACTGATAAGCAGAAACCTATTATCATTCGTTTCTTGGACTTTCACAAGAAGTAGACAACCCAAAATATTACGAATTTATAGGACATAATATTACCGATCATAATGTCATCTGTAAGTTATCTTAATAATCTAATTTTAATCATATTTGACTTCTTGTATTGTAAGTGTTCAAATTATGTTTTCTATTTCCAGACGCACATTTTCAACGTTGAAATGACATGCGAGGGTTGCTCAGGAGCTGTAGAAAGAGTACTGAACAGGCTAAAGGGTCAGGGAGTAGATAATGTATCTATAAGTTTGCCAGAACAAAAGGTATCAGTCACATCTTCACTTAGTGCTGACCAGTTATTGGATGTAATAAAGAAAACTGGAAAGAAAACGACATATGTTGGCACACAATAGTTTTGATATCTTTGACAAAGGAAAAGGTATATAGAACTCAAGACCAGCATAATCTTATACAATCAATCTATATATTTGTTTTATATTATATCAATTATAGTCTCTCCAGATAAGAATGCATAGAGACTGCCTTGAGCCAAAAGTTGACATTATACTGATTTTGAAAAATGTTTTATCAATATTTCAATATTATATAGTTTTATCATGTATGTTATTTTTAAATTGATGTTATTTTACTAAGTACATATATATATATAGATTGTAATTACTACTCAGTATTTTAATAAACATTTTTATTATAACAAGTTTATCATTGACATAAAAATAAATATTCATTTAGTAGATAAAGTTAATTCAAATACATTTACTTTCCACATCTTTCCTTGCCCGCAACATCCTCTAAAGTGTTCAGTCTCAGGTCAACGAGATCTACAGCTTCATGCAGAGCATTTAAATGATCAACTATGGCATTAACTGTGGGCAATACATCTGCACAATCACAATCCTTGTCTCTTTGTGAGTCACAATTGAAAGTAGCATTCAATTTCCTCACTTTCTTCAAATGTGTATCAAATTCATCATTAATTAATTTGAATCCACTGTTTAAAGGGAAATTTCTCTTCCTGCCCACCCACTCAATAATTCCACTAGTGTAGCAAACATCATTGTCTCTCAGTTTGATCATGCCAAACAGGTCACCTTGGCCACTTACAAAAGCACTCCTTGTGGACCTATCCATTACTGAGGGTACTGTGTAAGTTGCAGGGCTGGGTGGAACACGAGGAATATGACTAGCATGTCCAACACTACTGTTGAGAGAACAATCCCCAGATGAACATTCTGATTGTGTTGGTGGAATCCTTGGTAGGACAGTTTTGGCAGAGTTTATTCTTGGACTAACAATTGAATATGAACCTCTTAAACAAGGTTCAGTTTGGCTGCACAATCTTGGTTCAAGCATAGTACTGTTACTAAGGGGTTCTTCTAAACAACTCAATCTCATGGAGTGGTTACACTGGCTTGCATCATCCATGTGGACAAAGGTAACAGCAGGAATCTTATGAGTGTGATAACATTGGTACCAAATTCTTGTGCCCTATTTTATGGATGATGAAAACTGTATTAATACTTGGGACTCATGTTTCTAATTCAGTACGAAGAAGAACGTTTTAAGGCATAGCTATGATTGCAGTTTTCTCTGAATTCAATTTTTTGAAATGCTAGCATGTACTTGTTTGAAACAGTTCTCAATGAATAGTCCTGAATGGGGAAAGCAACGGGTTTAGAATTTTATAAATAATTTAGATTTTAGAAAATAATATAATCTCTACACCATACTTACACTAACAATGTTACTTTATATACATATAATTATATTATAGTTACTAAAAGCTGCTACAAAACTGTACATACTACATCTAAGTAAGTACTATCTTTTTTGAGCAACCTGACTCTTATCTTTTGATGCACATGTCAGTTTAGAAGATTGTGAATTAGTTTTGGGTATAGTTGAACCATTGTCTGCTATATTTTCCTTTAAGTCACCTGCCAGTTCAGTGAAATTAGTCTTCCATATGAAAACCTGTAATAAACAATTAACACTTTAACACTTGTGCAAATATGAACCACAAACATTAGCACATATGTGTAAAGCCTACTTTGCTTTGAATAGATTATCAACTTTATTACAAAACAATAACATTGAGAAGCCTTAGTATGCATTCGGCACTGATTGGCCGGCTCCAATGAACCAACCAATCAGAGCATGGAAAGCTTTGGTTACTGTTATCGTAAAAAAAAAATTGTATTTAGCCCTGTAAGAATTTCTGTTCTAAAGTGGTGTGTACACACATGATTACAAGACCATTTTGTAATCACTAGTTTTATATTAAATCTTAAAAGTGATTTAAAAAAATACATAAGTACCAATTTATCATCTCCTGCTGAGGCAAAAGTTTCCCCTGTAGCTGAGAAGTTGACAGCATTAATGGGCCCAGTGTGTCCACTGAGAGTAAATATTGGGTGCCCTTCCAATAAGTCAAGTATCTGAAACAAAAAATTACATTTACAATAAAAATTACTGACACTAAAATTATATCTGATATTGCCAAGCACTAACTCATTTGCATATTTTTGTTGAAGATATTTCAACAGTAAATAAAGAAATGTTTCATTCTAGACACCATACATATTTTGTTAATCATTACTGCTTACCTTCATCTTCCCATCTTTACTTGAAGTCAATATGTAGCTTCCACTAGGATGAAAAGCTATCTGTGTCACTGCATCATTATGAATACTGAAAAATATAACCAAATATTAATTTATATAAATAAAAATGAATTTCTCTTCATTAGTCTAGCTAAAACTCGAGAACAGCTGAACCATATTAAAAAGGGAAGGTTAAACATGTGAAAAAAGGAATTACTTATAGGCGGTTCAATTCAATGTATGCCAGGTCAGCTAGTTACAACTTACCTATAATATTGAACAAGATTATGTGTCCGTACATCATATAACTTCACATTGCCATGCGAAGTACCAACAGCAATGTAACACCCTGATGGGTGCCAAGCCAAGCAGAGTCCATGGCCTTTCTGGTCCTTATATGTGTGGATACATTCTCCATTGTCCAAGTTCCAAAGCTTGGTAGACTTGTCATCTGAACATGATGCTATAACAGATCCATCACTTGAAACGCGAGCACATCTCACCCAGTTGGTGTGGCCAACATAAGAAGCAATGAATTTGTGCTTATCTGTAGACCAGATCTTCACTATTTTGTCATCAGAAGCAGTGATTATCTAAAAGTTTAAAAAATGTTTTAATACTTTTTTTTTGTTTTTGCTCATCATCAATTTTACATAAAAATAAACATGATATGATCGATATATAGATCACCGTGCTTCGCTTGGAGAAGATACACTCAATCCACAGTGTATAAATATAATACTATGTAAGAAATATATTGCATTAAATTTAATTTTAAAGTTTTCAAAATACCTTTGTTCCATCAGGGCTGAATTGCACAGATCTCACAGTTTGTGAATGAGCTTTGAACATGCCAGTGCTCCCTGTTACAGTGGGAACCCAAAGTCTAACAGTTTTGTCACGAGATGCGGATGCCATAAACTTGCCCGAAGGTGAAAACGTTACATCCATAACGGCTTCATCGTGTCCTTGGAACCGGTAGCTTCTCATAGTACCACGAAGATCCCATAACTATGGTGTAAACAAACAATTTCAAGATAAGCCACAATCTAATAAGAAATTCAAGACGAAATCCTAAGTGTTGTTTGTAAAAGTGCGTAGTTACCAGGACACTATTATCCAGCGAACTGCTAGCAATTTGTTGTTCATTAGGGCTAAAATATAATGCTGTAATCCCACTTCGATGTCCTTTTAACTGCTTTTCTAAAGAAGGCTCAAGATAAGTTAACTTATTTTCCATCCTGGGAAACCGAAACAGAAACAGAATTCAAATCAAACTGTTGTCAAAGTGTCAACATCAATAATGACGTCACTCGTCAGTCAAGTCAGTGAAAGAGAATGCAATTTTTTCGCGCATGTACGAAATGAAATCCTATCCTAATATCTCTACTTTATTATATCTTAATATTACATTAATATGCATATGTTTTAAGAAATGTTAATACATAGCCTTATTATTTAGTAATGCAATATTTTATATTTTGTGAATTTTTATTTTTTTTCAATCAGCTGTGAAATATTTTTTAGTCATAAAAAGGCAACACTCTCTACCTCTAGCTTTATTATTTTAGTCTGTGGTCAATATTCGATTCATTTTCAGTGGACACGAGGTGTTTCTAATGTTTTGAATTTTATTTCAGAAATTCTAAATAATTCCCTCCAGATATTTGAGTATAAAAACCGCAATTATAGTTCATAACTACAAAATGTAATTAAAATTCCAACTATCGTTGATACATTTATTTTTTTTCTTTATTACCATGCCCTACCGGGTGCATTCGTATCTTGTTTTACGAAAAAAAAATATTAATTTACGGTTCTAAAATAATTAAAACTTGTATTTTAAAGTTTTCATTGCATTGCAGACTCAAGAAAAAGGATATGCAGTGAAAAATATTCTATGGGGTTTATTCTCTTGGATATTGTTGGTAAGTTTGAAGTTTTACCATGTTGCATCAATTTCAAATTATATTTCATATTGAATAACTTTGTCATGGCCTGAGAGAAAATTGCATCACATCATTAAAACATTAATTTAGGCAATTGTTACCTGCATTAGATAATTTAAAAATAGTGCAATTTTTTCTTTGTTATTTCTTAAGCTATGGAAAAAACAAACAAAGGCAAATGTGTCAGAGGCAGAGGTTACTAACAAAATATAAACAACATGACATCAATGTTGCATTTAGGTACTAAGTGCAAAACTCAAATGAATCTAATTAGGTATATGTATATTAATTCTACAATTATTATTGTATTATCAATATGTTTCAGGTATATTCATATGTTAATGTAAACAATACTTTGTTCTAGGTGTAGTATTGAGCTGCAATGAACGTAGTGGGTGTAGGTAGCGAGCCTACTGGGGAGGTAGCTCTCTTAGTAGAAGAACTCAGTCGAGCAGTTGAGCTAACTTTAATCCCCACTGTTTCCCATGAAGAAAGAAGCCAGGCCTATAATGCTTGTGAAAGGTGATATTATTTTTTGTTGATTTTTAAAATAGGGTAAATAAAAAAGGTTCATTAGTTGACCTTGAATTACTATTGATGATATATTGCAACAAATCTTCCAAAAACAAATTTAGTCATTGATTTTAAAAAAGAATGTTATGTTTTTTATGTTTAGCTTCAAAGAGAACTCGCCATGGTGTGCCCAGGCTGGTCTCTTGCTGGCCAGTGGCAATCAGCATTCCCCTGGAGTTAAACATTTTGGTCTCCAGTTGATGGAACATACTGTAAAGTATAGATGGACACAGATAACTCAAGCAGAAAAAATATTCATCAAGGTAATATTCATTAGAGTTA